TGCTGAAGAAGCAGAAATATTTTTTTTTGGCATATAAAGAAAATATTAATTTCCCACCTTGATATAAAATTAAAGACTCAAAAGTCAGAAAATCCTATGTTTAGGGTTTCTGCAAATAGACCAGCAGTGCCATATGATTCATGCTGAGCATTTTACGGCATGCTTTTAAGGGGAACACAGCATTATAAACAGTAATGTTCCAATTTCCTGAGATGGGAGTACTTAATTTCTGCCTCCAAATTCTGCATTTTCGGCTGATCTTTGCGCCTTTTGGTTTAGCGCGCTCTATCTGGGGCGTGCGTTTTGGCAAGATCCCGAGGCGGCTCAAGAATCAGATCAGGCTGTAATTAAAGTTTCTTTCCAGCTTCTTTTCTTACGAGAGCCTGATGTCTGCATGCCGGGGAGACGGGAATTTGGGGGCTCCTGGGTGCCCCTCAGAGGGACCTCAGGGCACCCCCCTCTGCACCCAGAGGCAGAGCAGGAGGCAGGAGCCACCCCGCAGCTCCCCACAACCCGGCGCACGCAGGTTTGGGGGCACGAGGGCTAAGGCTGGCCTGAAACAAGACCCTTTTTTGCCTGATGTTTGTGAGCCTTCGCATCCACCTCTGCCCTCTGCAGCAGCGGGTTTGAATACAGGCCTCCTTCTCAGCCCCTCTCTTCTCATTGCCAAGAAGGACTCTTGCTGGTTTTGACACTGTACGATGAAACATTCGTTGCTGCAAAGAACGGAGCCCAGTGTCCTGCTCCATCACTAGCGTAACTCACACTCTGCTCCTCCTGCCCAGGTACTTTTGGCAAAACAGAGGAGCTTTTACTGAGGGAATTGAGGAGATCTGCCTCAGGTAGTACCCTGTTGTGGGCAGTTGAGGTTGTTCCCCCCAAAACTGGCAGCTCTGAGTTCAGAAATCCCCAACACGGGAATCAACCCTGTGTTCTGTGCAGCCTGGATGCGTTCCCGTAGCATCCGGAGCGTTGTGCAAGGAGAGACGTGGTGGCTGCTTTTCTGACCCTCATCCACCTCCTCCCACATCGTGTTGTACAAACCTCATCATTCTGTTTTTGTTTCTTACCCTGGAACCATTTGATGAACTCGACCTAGATTTGTAAATACTTTTGTAAATACTTTTGGTGTGACTGGAAATGTGTGTTTTCAGAGAATTCATTAATTGCTCAAAGCATTTTGTCTTGCTGTATTGAGGAGTCACTTACTCCTGTAAGTCCCCATCTTGCAGCTTTGTTCTCGGTTGCAGTTGCTGTTTCACAGGACGACACCTTTTGCTCCTTAATCCCTCATAATTTCAGTACTTCTTCCCCAGGGCTAGTATTTCTGCTCTGCTGCTTGCTTTAGTAATCATGTTATTAACATTTCCTTTGACACATGATTATTTTACCCCTATTCTGCTTCCTACCGCTGCTGGTTTTATGCCGGTTTGCCATCATCTGTTGTATTTCCAAGGTGCTCCTCGCTGATTGCAATTATGCAGATGACTGTGGAAAAGCTCTGCTCTCCAGCGTGCTTAGCTGGTTGCATTTACGCGTTCAGAGCGTATTTGTGCACGCCGTTAGCAGTTAATGGGCTGTGAGGTGCTTTCTTGTAAAGGAATGTCTTGCATTTAGATCCGGCAGCCTTAACCACTGATGAAAAGCTCTTCCTCTGCTGGGACCTGCTGCTGAGACTTGTGCACAACCAGGTTTTGCTCCAGCCTGGACCACATCCCTTCAGCAGCCGTAACACGGAGCTGCGACGTTGCTTCCCTAGGGGGAAATTCCTGTTTTCGGGCTTGAAATTCTGGCTGAAATAAATGGAGAGCTGGTCAATTTGGAGACTCGCAGGAGATGGGAGAGCTCTGCCGTGTGCTGCACAAGCCCCGTTGGGAAAAGGACGGTTGAATCCTAGTTAGGAGTTGCAGGAAAGTCAGAGATGCCCTGGGGATGTCCAGATGTCGCCTTTGGAAAGGTGAATGCTTTATTTCGGCTATCAGAGAGGAGAAAAACGCTACACAGAGTCCATCTGCCGGGAGTAGGTCCTGCTTTGTAGCTTCAGATGATGATGCCCCCAACACTGCTGTTAGATCCTTGTGCTGCCCTTGCCTGTCATGGTTACACACCTCACCGCTTGCTAAATATATTAGCCCTTTCCATCAGATTGATGATCTGATTTCCTAGGTTTTATCTTCCGTTGCTCCTCTGAGGTACCAGGGCATGAGATATCTCTTGTGGTGGAGCGTGCTTTGGCCAACCTAGACTGCAGTTTCAGCAGTCCTAACCGCAGCAGCCGCTTGCATAAGAGAGCCTCTCCGAGGGATATTTTTAAAGCCATCTCTTGGATAAAAATATCTCAGGTGGGAGGGCGAGCGCTCAGCACGCTCTCACCTTCTGAGGCGCGCGGGTGTTACTCCCTGCACTTTAAATAGACCAAACGGGGAATTTCTAGTTCTTTAGATAATGGAGGGTTGCTGAATAATGCTCTATAGACTCACATTACAGTGAGGAGTCTTTAAAAAGAAAAAAGTGTTATAAAGCAAAGCCTGGACCAGCTGTGGAACAGCCTCTCCCCAAAATTGCTGCTACCCACAGGGCACCAACAGGCACTTGGGGGTGTGCAGTGTTTGTGTTCATGATGCTACGAGTAGCATCTGCTTCAAAAATGCTGGCGCTTTTTGGAAGGAAAGAGTCATTTTAATGTAAACTGCTGAGCTGCTAAAACACTGCTGTGACTTTCCCTGCAAAATTTTAAGCTTAATCTCCCTTTTTTTTTTCTTTTTTTGGAGAGTTAAATGGAAGTTCACTGGAAAAGGAATATTTAATACTGCCAGAGAAGGTTCTTGATTGCGGTTTATCCTGAAGCTGGTAATGAATGTGAGCTATCGGGGCCTAGGGATTTGCCATATGAATTTCCCAGGGTCTAATCATCTCATAAGGCTGCTGAGTGTGACTCCTTCCCCGGTAATCTACTTAACTCCGTAATTTACCCCTCCTTTTGCGTTGGGAGGAGAATGGATCCCACAGGTTGTTTGCATGACAAGGGGCTCCGGCTGCTGCGGGGCTTTGGGGAAGACGCTGGCAGTTAATTTAATGGTTTCCCATGTTGGCTGGCATTTCTCTAATGGTGAGCCCAGTTCCAGGCTGCACCGTGTGTTTTCATAGCTAACATGCTAAAATATGATTTTGCCTTGCAAAGGATGTGTTGGGTTTTTTTCCCCCTTCCCAAAACAGATCTGGGGGAAAGTTGTGTCTGGTAGTTCTAGGATTATTGGATTTGCAGATAGGATCTGCCACGCTAATGGCAGTTCCTGACTTAGGACCAAAGGCAGCTAACGGGGAGATGTTTCCTGGCAGTTGATCGTGCTCGAAATCTCCCCTTAAAGTCCACAAAATCCCTGAGGACAAGGTTAAAAGTAAGATTCTCAACAAGCAAACTAAGTAAGTGCCGCATCCAAACCGTCCGCATCAAAGGAAGTAGGGATGTCCCATCCCCGAGTTTGTTGGGTTCACCTCACTTGTGCTGGAAGTTCGAGGGCAACATCCCTTCATTTCTTCATATCCTTTTAATTTCTTTAATTGCCTCCAGAGGGCAAACGTGGCACCCAAAGGGCCTGCTCCCAGCTGGGCGCGTGGCGGCCCGGGAAGCGCCTGTCGTGGAGCAGCGCGGTCCGGAACTCACGGGAGGATTGAGGGAGAGTTTGGTGGCGCCTTTAAAAAGAAATCAATTCTTGACGTTGCTGTAGTTGTGTTCCTGGGTGCCCGGGGCCGCGGCGGTCGTCGCGGCGGAGGCGACGCAGGTTCATCTGCTCTGCTTGAGAAGTGGGACGGTCTCAAACTCCTGCACCTCTAGAGATGGGTGTTTCTGATTCTGTTTTCCAGCCTTTTCTGACTTGGTAGCTCCATTCTCGTGCTGGAAAATGCCCCCAGTCCATCTGCTTTGTTAAATCCGCTCCTGATGGCCTTGCTCCTGGTGATTTCCCTTGGAGCCGGTCAAGCAGACCATGGAGCGCAGATTGCTGCTTCTGCTGAAGGTCACCTGATTAGTGACATTGATTTCATGGCTCTTTCCAGCTTTGCTTGTGATTCCTTGAGCAAATGCCTGCATCCACGTAGTATCCAGCTGGTTTCAGATAGATGCTGTCTAGCTCCAGAGTCCACCTCTGACACCCGCCTGCGGCATCAGGCTGCAGAGCTAGTCCTGTGCCGAGCTAGAAGTCAGACTTTCGCTAGCAATACCCGCGGGATTCCGATCTGTTTTGTTTTCCCACAGGGAAGGATAAATGGGACAAATAATTTATCTGGCTGTGTATAATCTGCCTGTAAAGGAGAATTAAGCACGTGGTGCAGCTTGAGCTGTACCTTTGTAGAAATATATTGAAAGCCTATTTGTTTTCTCATTCAGAAAGACATAAAGTTGGCTTACAAGTGTAATTTTAGCAGATCGCACCACCTGGCTCGAGTTAATGTTTTACAGATAGAAGAGTTCTCAAAATAATTTAAATGCTAGGGCTTTCTAAATGGAGATCTCCCTGGAAGCTCTCTCAGAGCTATAGGCTGCCTTTATCCTGAATCGGCTGCTTTGACATCTGACAGTTTTCTCCCACGCTGGAAGGATGGATTTTCATTCCTCTTAGGGCCTTTTGTGCACCCAGGGTACAAGGCTGGGCGCTGCCCTGGCACCCATGGGATCAGCAAGCCCCGGGGAGCTCGGGGACGGGTCTGGGTTCCAGCACCGCTGTCGAGGTGCCGAAGGACACCCGGCTCCTCGGCTTTCTGCTTTCCAGCCCACCTACTACGTGCCCAGCTTCCCCGTCCCCTCTGCCACTGCAGCGTGTTGCCGGAGCGGGAACCCCGGGCTGCTCCGCAAAGCGTCCCCTTTATCCGGTCCACCCAGCGCCGGGGACTTTCTTAATTGCGGGTTCTTTCAGTTAATAGCAAAGGTTTGGAAAGGCCTCGCACCTCAGCAGGGCTCACTTCTGCAGGGCGCCGAGTGCTTTGTTCTGCATCCAGCCGAGCACTTCAGTGTCTTTAAGAGCACTTCATAGGCTCCAGCAGGCTCATGATTTCAGCGCCTTGCGGGATTGAGCCAGTACCAGCTTCTTCCAGGGATTCTGATTCGGAGAGTAACATCCAGGAAGGTGTTTCTTGAATGTCAGTGTTACCTTAAATAGAAGCAACCCCAGCTCCACAGCTCCAGGTGTTCAGAAACACATAGTGAAGGTTGAAATATTGCTATTTTGGGAGGGGGTTTCTTCCTGGGAAAGTGATAGATGGACAAAAAATTGTGGTTAAAGGTGATCACTTCCCATTCTTTCTTTTCTTCCAGTTTTGCCCTAGCAGAGGTTAGCTTTACATGTGGTCGTCCTCAGTGAGCGTTTAATAACTGAAGAGGAAACTGAAGCGCTTTGGAAAAGCACGGAATAAGCAAGCGCTCCGGGGAGACGCGCAGTGGCGACATGATTAATAAGGGACACTCCTGGAAATGCCATCACCGCGGCGCTATTGGAAAAGCAGATGGAGGGTCCCGCTGTCAGGGCAGCAGCAGACAAATGATCCACAAGGATTTATGGGCCTTCTTTGCACCGAGGATTTTTTTCCCTCCCAGAAGTGCTAAGGGAATAAACTCTGTAAATGGAACCGTGGGTTTAGAGTTAAAGGAAAAAATACTCAGTAAATCGGGTGACTTCTTTTAGCTCTGAAGTGTTGCTGTTCTTGGTGATTATTTGGTAACGGGGAGCATTCCTTACGCAGACCGCACATAATTTTCTCTCCTTGTACTGGTTTTCCTCTCAACTCCCTCATGCGCCTGGGCATGGCCGAGCGATACCTTAAGGATCTTGGAAAGGGGAACACGTTCTCCGTGGGGAGACCATGATGCAGAATATAATATATAGACACACAAATACAATATATATACACACACACATGTATATATATACACAGAGGTTGCCTGTACCACATATTGCGCTTGCTCCCAGGGGTCCAGCCCGTTCAGCCCTGCATTCCTCATGTCACCCCGGCGGGTTTTCCTTCCCCTGCACTTTGTTCTTGGAGCAGTTATTTCTTTCCTCCCTTTGAAGACACTGGCTTTGCAGCTGCCCTGGCAGCTTGGAGTTGTCAGGCAGGAAGGCAAAGGAGCAGACCTGCAGTTACGGCCTTACAAAGCGTTCGGGAAGGTGCTGGGATGAAGCACTGATATTTTGCTTTCTCTCCTTCCCTCCGCAAAAATCCTTCCTCGTTTTCATTCTTTTGCAAAATGAGGGAGAAGCGCTTGTACTGCGCTTGCATAAACTGTACAGGTTTGGCACTGCTCAAGACGGAAGCTTTTTTAAAAATATCCATCCATACATATATATATAGTATATAGCACACCAACATACAGGAATCAGAAGATCCGTGAGCGTGGGCACTGAGATGCCTTTCCGTCTTCTTTGGTGGAAAAGCTTCTGTTAACATCTAATTGGTTTCAAGCATTCAGCAAGGGCTGAATTCCCTACTTTGCCTACAGGAAACCGCTACTGAACTAGATTTTTTTTTATCAACTTTCTGCTCTTCCAACTCCATTTACCAAAATTAAACAAAACAAAAAAAAATCTAGGCAAGTCAAATCTAATTTCTTATCACAGTTCTGTGTGTGTTGGCTCAGTTGTTTGTGAGATTGTTTCTCCCGGCTCGTTGTTTCCTTTGGCATTTTTAGAAGGGTCTTTATAGTTGTTAACAGCTGTGAAGGGTATTAATAAGTATTTGGTTGCTGGTTTCTGCAGTTTTGCGTGCTGATTGGATTGGATTGCCAAAGGTTGAGCAAGTTTCTAAAAATAGGGTTGTCCTTTAAAATGTTAAAACATATTTTCTCAAGAAAACCCAGCTATATCTGTGTCAGGATTTTTACACGCAGGCTGATAATGCTTCTGCAAAAGAGAAGTGAAAAGTGCATGAGAGAGTTTCGTTAAAGTCAAGTAACCCTTATACAGAGCTTGAATTATGCCGGGGCAGTTGGCGACTGCTCGGGGTTGCTCCGTGGACATGGAGACCACGGCCCGGAGCGTGCGGAGCCGACGCGCCCAGGGGATTCTTCTCCATCACGCAGCTTTTCGGACCGTGTCTGGAATCCTGCATCACCTTTGTGTCCCTCACTACAAGGGAGAGGCCGATAGCCTGGAGCAAGCGCGGTGAAGAGCCATGAGGACAGTTGGAGGCTGGAGGACACGATTTGCAGAGATGTGTTTGGCCTGGTGAAGAGACAGCTTCACGTGGGCAAGATGGAGCATCCACCTTCCCGTTCCTAAGGGAAGCGTATTCAGAAGCATGAGGCTCTTTACAGGCATGCACAGCGGGAGAACGAGACCAAGCAATCATAAATTAAAGCAGGAAAGTTTCCAACTTGATATAAGGAACAAAAACTTCCCCATGAGGACAACCAAGCACTGGAGATCAGGGGCCGGGGGAGCTGTGGAATCTCCATCCATAGATGCTTTCAGATGGACAATGTCCTGAGCAGCCTGGTCTGAATCCAGTTTGGACCCTGCTTTGAGCATTAGGTTACAAGGGAAGCCCCCGAGGTCTCTTTGTACCTAATGGTTTTAGGATTTAAGGATTTCAGCTTCCTGCTCTTCCAAGTCAGAAGTCCATCTTCTTGCTTCGGTCACCAGTTCTTGCTGTTGAGCACTAAATTCACCCCAGTGAAACTGGTGGACTCGGGCAGCAGAAATCACCTGCAGACTCTTTATGGAGGCCCTCCTGCATGCTGGGAAGGGCTCGATCAAGTGTCTCGTTTTATCCAAATAAAAGAGAAGTCGATGCTCAGCGAGGCCTGTTTCTTACATCACCTGAAACAGAGTTTACTGGCAGAAATCCATGTGACAGCAGTAGGTAATGAGGCTGCCCAGCCACATCAAAAATTAGTTTAATAAAAGTAAAGGTAGGTTTAGTTCCCTTTGGGACTTCAGAAGTAGAAAATTCTTCTGCTTTAATCAGATCTGTGTGCAATGAGCACCACAACATACAACTGCTGCACGCCATGGGCCACCAGCCCGGTGGCTGCTGAGCTGCGTGGGGCTCGTGGAGTGGCTCAAGGGCAGCTGCTGCAGGAGAGTTTTCACGGGATCGATGGATCTGCCTGGCGAGCTCCCGTTTCCCGGGAGGCTCCCGCTGCGGACAGGCCCCGGAGCCGCCCGCAGCCGTCCCGCTGGGCCGCTCCGGCGCTCTGGGAGACCCTGGGCATTGCCAGCGTGGGCTGGTGCTCTGCAGGGCATCCCCTGCCTCCAGGCCACGCTGAAGCTTTGGTGTTTAAGCCTCGTTGCATCCTGTGCTGGGCTGGTTGTAATCGCAGCACTGCTCTTAACGGGGAAGCTCCTCGGCTCAGCTCACACTCTGAGCGGGGCTTGTGTGGTTGTGAGCTTGTGCACCTGAAATGGCCATTTCACCCCTTTCCAGTCAGGAGAGCGGGTCAGATTTTGGGGCAATGCAGAATTAAAACGGGAGCGTTAGATGTGCGCAGGCAGCTCAGATGTAGTGTGTAATTAATCCTCGCCTGTGGCTTTTTAAAGCCAGCAACAACCAGAGCATCCCAGATGGGAAATCCCTGTTTGTTGAGATGTTATGGATGTGCAGGCAATTTTTGTGGGACCCTCCTCAGCAGAGAGCATCATCCCTCGAGGTGGGTTTGCATCAAGTGAGTGAACGGGAGCAGAGCTGCACAGCCCAGGTTTGTTAACCCTCACAACAGCCTTGTTCTACACGGTCATCCCAATAGCTTTGTACTTAAGATTGACCATTTCAGTCTTGGCTGTTTTGTGCTCATTTTTTATTTTTATTTTTTTAAAAAAATCCATGCTGCTTTTATTTTTTTTTCTGGAGTC